CTCTTAATATATCTTAACTCACTTATACCTATCACCATTATCGACTGTAACAACGTAATTGAATAACTATATCCCCTGTGCATCGCATTCATTTAACTACTGCAGTCTAGTAATCTAAGCCAACGGTGTCTAACTCAATTGACCTCGCGGGCCACTTTGGAAGAACTTTACGTTCCAGCGGGCCGCATATAAAAATATATATCTTTATATTAGATTCAGATCCATTACAAACATTTGTGTGAGTGAAAATTTGAAACGGACTGATATATTATTATTGTTTTCATTATTTTCCATGCATATAAACATGTATAGTATAATAATAACAATACAATGAGCAAATAATGTTTAAATTATTTAATAAGTCATATATCTGTTTCTCAACTCTTTCACTTAGTTTTTGCAAGTCGATCTCAATGCATGTGTATTTGCATATGGTAAATGATGCAGTAGATTTTCGTGCGTTAAGTTTGATCACACGATTTATGTTTGATAAATTTCATTTAGAAAAAAAAAGATATTCGCAGTAAAAAGAAGTAACGTGATAAAATAATAACAGCTATGGGGTTTGTTTTTTACAAAAATAAATAAATCAATAAAATAAAAAAATAAAAACTTATTGAACAAACAATACTGTACAAAAGAGTCGAATTTTGTAAAGTCGTAAAAAATCTCGCGGGCTACAAAATTATTAAATTCGGGCAACATGTGGCCCCCTGGCCGCGGGTTGGACAACCTGATCTAAGCTATCCCTAACCCGTTAAAGGTAGCAATAAAGTAATTTAAGAAATCTCAAAGAAAAGCGTTCTTCGGTTTATTTTTATTTTCATAAACTTCAGAAATTCACTTACGGCCAATGTAGGAAATAGTTTCTCCAATATAAAAATAAAAATATTAAGTGACATCGAACAGAGAAAAGAGAACTTTAAAGTTTTCGAATTTTTGAATAAATTATTTTATTAGCTTGAAAATAAAGACTTTTATGAGAAATGTTTAGTTGAAATAAGACATCTTCCATTAGTTCTTTGTTAACGAAATGAAGAGTTGCAATTTGAAATCGTTGTCTCTAAAAAAGGCATCGTTTTTAACGGAGCTGAAGACAGATGGCTTTTTAAAAGTAATTTGATACATAGAAATCGATTACTGATACTTTAGTAAAACACTATTGAAACTACCTTTGTATTTTGAAAGACTCTAATAGCATACCTGTCAAGTTAAGCCTTTTTGAATATTAATGATTTTTTGACATGTATTGTTTCGACAGACTCCAAAGTGGATTATTTATTAATAATTTATATATATATATATATATATATAGAAAGAAATATTCTAAAATTTATTCAGAATTCAATGTGTATAAGCAATTAAATGATTTTGAAATTGATCTATGTCTATTGCGCTTTAAGTTGACCGGCTATTTTATTTTTAACGTCAAGTATAGAACTTGAGATGTATCTTTTAATATCTAATAGATTGATTTTGAAATAATATCTCATTTCGATGCATTGTGCATGTGTGTAAAAAGGTATTGTTGATAGTCTACGTCGAGTGACGAGAAGATCATTCTCCAAATTTCCAGATTATTTCATTAAGAAAATTTTGAATCCCAACAGATTTATTAAAAATCAGTTCTGCTACATTAAGAGATTTTAGTGGCATCACGAATAGAATTAACAATGCGTACAAAACTACATCAGAAGCAAGTGCACGATTATAGCCACCCAGATTTATTCATTGTTTGTTCATTAGCGTTAAACTTTAAACTGCACGGGGGATACTGGTAGCTGACGTCGCAAATTTAAACAAGGTTTAAGCGAAGAGGACCAATAACCAAACAGTTGTCGCTCAATGTATGTCATACATCCACTGCCTAACTTTGTCAATGCGGCTTCCAAAAGGGTTTTGAACAATTGATGGTTCATCGTGCAGCTGACTTTAAAGTCATATTCTTAGTGGAGTTACAGCCAGTGAGCGAATTCTAAAAATAGATCTTTGAATGACGCCAATGGCCCCGCTATCCGGATTCTTTAGGAGTCCTTTTTTAGAAAATAAATAAAAATGACAACAGTAATAAAACTTATTGGAAAGTGTCTAAATGTTTCACATGTTGGAGCCCCTGTAGCTTGCGGCCCCGTATCATTGATACAACTCATACGACGTTAGCTACGCCCCTGGATAACGCCTCCTCGTGCGTATCATACCATGCGTGTACATTTCAGTTACAATTCTGAATACATGAATTAACTTCAAAAGTTTTCTTCCACTATGAAGCTATATTATGGTTAAAATGAATAAATACGTCATTTAAGAAATTTAATAGATACAATATTTAACAGATATATAGTACTACAATATTTTTGGATGAAGAAAGTTTTTGAGCTACTGATGAAGAATTTAATAGTAACGATTATTTCTCTATTGAGAGAAATTAATTCAGACTTAGAAGGGAAAAAAATTGTTGAAAATAACTGTCTTATGAATGAATCAAATAAAAAGTTTGAAATAACGCAATTTTAAAGAGTGTAAATGGTATACATCTTATCCATATTTAAAGAAACTTTTGAAAAAATAAAATAACTTTTGCTTGAAATATAAGAAAAAATAACACCACCAGGAGGAATTAACTAATATAAAGTTCGACTAATTGGAAACATGTACGAACAAGAAAGCTTTCACTAAATTTAGAAGACAAATAAGGATCCACAGGAGACATAGTACCCACCTGCAGTGAAGACCAAAGGGGCTAAATGAGTATTTGATTGATGTAATGATTGTTTTAATTTAAAAAAAAAACTAAACTTCCCACTTAAAAGTGGGATGAATATATAGTATTTCCTATTTTTCTTTCTGTTTTATGTTCGCATACAGATTTTATAATAGAAACAATGCACAAACTCACGGGTGTGAGATACCTTGCGCGAGTTAACTATTCGTTGTTTTTACGCGAGTAATGCCGGGTTATTTACAATGGGCATACAATATTTTCAGCAGTTTGAGAAGGTTAATAAAAATGACTTGCGATATTAATAAGTATGTCATTATATATCAAATTGCTTGTAGAAGCATCTCTCTTTAAAACTATTTTGTGGTATCAATTATTAATCTAGAGAATTCTTAGATTCTTCATTTTGTTCCTTAGTATCCATTATTTTTATTACATTTATTAATTCGTTTTTAATTTCAGCTATTTTTTGTAAATTTCAAGTTTTTTTTTCTTTAAAACTTTGAAACTTTAGAGGATGTAATCATTTTCCTTTTAAGAATCCTAATTTTCAGGTAGCTAATGTATTATGTTACAGATAAACCTATAACGACATCAATAAGAAAGAGTATAAACATTTTGGAAAGTATTTTTGTTATGCGTAAGAAGTCTAATTTTCTACTTGTGATTTTCTTTAAAAGTGAATTTTCGTTACAACATATCTTTTCATTTTTCAATTCCACCATGTTCTGTACAACTGTAAAAATTGTTACGGAAAAAACATATTGGTCAACAACAACAACAAAAGAAGAAGAAAAAACAAGCAGTCCTTAAAATATCTACAGTAGCAGATATTTAGTATCAGCATTAGTGTTGATAATACTCGTATTTACCTTGTAGTATAATTTTCAGAAATCATTTGATCTACATAATTTAATGAAAGTTAAAACCATTTGGGGGAAGGCTGATTAAGAACAAAGTGCAGTGTAACAAAGAAGGCATCATAAAATTTATTCTGCTTCTGAAAAAAACTGAAACATTTATATAATTTACGTTAACCTTAATTTTGAACGCTCGTATGTTAACATTATTCATGCAAAAATATATGCACTGATGATACATTAAAGTGATGAGAGGGAAAAAATGTATCTACAAATTCCAGAATATTCTTCTAAAATGCACAGAAAAATATATATTTGACATTCGAAATATCCTTACGACGAAAACTAATCGATTTGTTATAAGGGAAACATGATTACAGGCATAACACAACATAAATGATTTATGCAATTTTATTCAACTTCACGCTCCATTTTTTCCAAGTCTTTTTAGAGTAATAAAATATCAATATAAAGTTGGAACCTGATATAACGAACTCATCGGGATGGGACATTTCATTCAGTAATTCGGAGTTATTCATTACCTAGGAGTTTAACAAAATAAAATAATTGCTCTTATCTTTTGGAAATTCTATTATTAGCAACTACACAAAAATTGTCCAAAGTTAGGAATTACAAATTTTGTTATTGATCAACTTAAAATACTATTAGTGAATTATTACGCTACTGCAAACTAAAATTTTTAAAATACTAACTTATAAATGTTTAATAATCGACTCGAAATCCGACTCGAAAGAATTGTTTTTTTCGACTTCATGTAGAGAAGAGAATATATGGCGTATTTTACATCTTGCTTCATCAGGTATGTTTTCCCCAGTTTTCGAACAATGTAAAGCATTGGAAAATAATACAGTTTTGATAATAGTGTTCTTATCGATTTCTGTATTAGAACCGCTATATTCATTGGTTCCGACAAATCAACAATTTGATCGACTTCCATTGCACAGATAGGCAGTTCGTCATCAAATGTAACGTAATAGTTAAAATCTTAAAAGGCCCCCTTCGTTATGCAGTGGGTAGATATAAGAAAAAAATCCTATTCTATTCAAATCTCACACGATAGATTACACTCATGACTCACCTGCACTGCTAAAGTATAATATTTTTAACAACACCCTTTCCCGTAGAAATTTTCTGCTTACAAGAAGAGTATTTTTCAATTTCTACTAATGCTTCTCTCTCCCTCCCTGTATAGATACGTTTTTGTATCTTGCTCAAATCTTCAATCATATATAAAATAATGTTTATTCATTCTTTCAAATTTCAAGGCATCTTTTTAAACTTGTAGTGGATGACACTTGATATGAATGCCGTTCTTTCAAATATCAATTCATTCATAAAATTAAGAAATGTATAAACAGTAACAAAAAATAGCATATATAGAAATTAAAATTGTTCCTTTTGTCCCTGTAGTGCAATGGATAGCGCATAGGACTTTTAATCCAAGGGTCGTGGGTTCAAATTCCACCTGGGATAGACTAATTTCTGAGAATGGGATTTCTTTTCAACTATTTTTATTAGGAAAATCCAATCTATATAATGAATGAGCAGAAGCAAAAAAAAATAGTTCAACACCCTATATAGCAAGGAAAATGGAAAATTGCAAGGGAAATAGCTTTCTATTTTGTCACTTAATGTTGAGATTCTGTCGTAGGTATATACATATTTATGTTAAATATAATCATTTAATAAAAATAACTAAAGTAAGAGTTTTTTTTATAGACATAATTTGGAATTGGCTTAATTTATTTTTCCATTACTTGTTTTTGTTTCCGACAAAAGCGTATGTCATTTGAAAAGGAATCCAATTTTTTTCTAATAATTACCCAATAAAAATATATTTTCAAACTGCTGAAACAATTCGTTAATTCGGGGTTTACTATTCCTTAAATACATGTTTTTTTTTTTTTTTACCCTGGGACAGAGAAAAATTCGTTAAATCGTGGAATTCGTCAAAAAAGGGATTTGTTAAGTCAACGTCCTACTGTATTATTTTTTGCTTTCATTCTTTTAATAGAAGATTCTGATCTCCTTTCTGAAAAAGAATAATATCATATATGTCAAAAACAGGGAAGAAACGAAAAGTAAGAGAATAAATAAATACGAAAATCCATCCTCTGGCAAATATGAGTGAATAATGTATCATTTCAATTCTCCAAGTATTGGCTGAAAAGTAGCTGTCGGAACGGCTGTTTCCGACTACTTGAGATCTTCCTATTGGATGCGTTTCCATGACAACGATGGAATTTGTTATACACACAATATGGCGCTATATTCAGTCAAAAACAGCCCTCATTAAAAAGAAAAACAACTAGAGCTTACTATTTCATAGAATTTTAAAAAACACTAGTTGGAAGCTAAAACGTAAAAAAAATATAACAATGAGAAAAATAAATGATATATCTTTTTAATTCAGCCGATGAAAAATTTATTATTATTATAAGAATGTGTATTGAAAACGTAGAAGAATTTTTATTCATTTGATGTTTAGTTATAATTACATCAGAATGCAATGAATTCTTCATCTCTTAACAGAATGAGTTAAGTTTATTTTGCTTATTTACATGAAAGCTCTCGCTTTAAGGAAGAAATAAAAAACATTTTTATCTGACTGCTCCTCTTACAAGTTTTAAGAACATAATACGCCACAGTCCGGTATAGTGGTTACTGACGCTGATTGCGGTGCCGTGGGGACAGGGTTCGAATCACGGATAAGACATAGATATTTGTAAATATACAGTGCCTTTGTGGAATGGGAATACTTTAAATAACCGTCGATCCATATGTCCTTTCGTGAGATTGATGGATAGGGAAGAGAGGTGGGAGGCTTAAGGCTTACCGAGGGAGTGTTTCCTCAAATTGGGATGGAACCGAGCAAATTCGTTCTGTCACCTGTATGGTGCTCAAAGCCGCGGCTAAGGACAGACTTACAAACTAGCCCCTTGTCACGATGAATTGCACTGGATGATGCTTCTGCCAGGGGCATAATTAACAACAACGTAATATATATGTGGTGAGTGAGTGACAATTGAAATTGCACTGTTCAGCTACTTGCAGTGTTTTGGCTACGGACCACAAAATTTTGAACCATGTTCAATCGGCGAGGATGACTCTTGAGGTGGAAAACCCTCTCTCCTAACAACCACACCACACCTTCGTGAAGAGGTTTAAGTTCTCGTCAGACTTTAAGTGCATCGCACCTCTGCACGGAGAGTCATGAGCGGCACTATGCTTGAACTCATGACACGCCAGCCACGAAGTCTGGTTACCTTTACCACTAAACAACTGCGGCCACAAAAACTAGAAAAATAGGCATGCACTATATATATATGTTTAAGATGAGAGAGAAATAAACAAAATGATATAAAAGTATTTAATTTTATAGAAAAATATTTAAATTGTTTTCGTTTATGCGGCAATCCTGGAGCCAAATATATGACTACACTTTCAAAATCGACCAAATTCTATTACTCATTCTGATTTCTCGTATGTGTATTATAGATAACATTGTTTTCAAATATCGTAAGTATTGTCTTCCATTAATAGTTAGATTAAATTGAGTTTTTTACCATTTCACTACAATGATGAATATCCGAAAATAGCGAAACTATTTTAGGCAATAATGTTTGTAATAGTAAAAAGTAATAAAGAACTTCAACCGCTACTTTGACTTATGAATCATACCATGAGAATTAAAGTAGGCAAAATTGCTGATGAAATAGCTGTCGGTTAGAAGCTTCGCCCTTTATTAATTGATACGTGGATAAAAGTTTATTTCTGTGTCGTCGTGTCAACACAGAAATAAACCAAATGAAGATGCATATAAATAACTAGCCATTACCCATCCACTTCACTGGGTATTTCCCGTTGTTGTACATATATATATATTGTTTACATACATATTAAATATTAATATCAAGCATTAAGAATTCCATTGTATTGAAAAATATATTTATAGCTGTTACACTCTCACCCCTTGATATAAAAAGAACATAAATTAAAATATGTAATTTCTACTTATATCTAAAATAGAAGGAGAAAAATTGTTTTCGCTCTCTTAACCTAACAATCAAGTGGATTTCCACCAAAGCAACTTTCAGTGGATCCCTACTCCATAAAATAAACATGCGTGCTAAATTTCAAGTCTAAATCTAAGAGAGCAAAAACGGAATTTTTATCATGAATACCTCGTTGATAGCATTCTTAGCGAATTCCAATTCAACAAAAGAAGTATGCAAACCAAATTTTATTATTATAGTCTTAGCAGTTCAAAAACGGGAATTTTGTCTATCAATACGCCCCAATAACTCTCCCCGCTTCCCCCTAGAGTTGATTTTCGTAAAATCCATTCTTAGTGGAACTGTATTCAACTATAGAAAAGTGCTTCACAAGTTTCAAGTAAATGAGTTAAATTCAAAAACAGGAATTTTTCTATAACGTGTCTTAATCCCCCGCAACCCCACTCCTTTGGGGGTCCGTTTTCGCAAAAATCTTTGTAAAAGGAACTTTATTCCAAGAACGGAACATACCTTCTAATTTTCAAGCAGGTGGTTCTATTAGTTGAAAAGCGGAAATATTTATCAATTACGTCCCTTAATCCCCCTCAGTGACCCTTGGAGATCAATTTTTCCCGAAACTATTTTGTAATGGATCTGTACACCATGAAAAGAAATCGCTTACCAAATTTTAAGACTGTACGTTGAATAGTTTAAAAATGGAAATAACTATCTATAACGCCCCTTAAGCCCCTGCAACGCCACTTAGGAAACGATTATCACAAAACCCATCTTATGACAGATCTCTACTCAGTGAATGGAATCTCCTTACTCAATTTCAAGATTTTACGTCTTATAGTTTAAAAAAAAGGAGTTAATTGCCTATATAACGCCCCTTAATTCTCCACAATGCCACTTGGGGTCAATTTTCTCAAAACCCATTCTGTAGGGGATCTGTACTCTATGAAAGGAATCCGCTTATATATCAAATTTCAAGACTGTACGTCTAATAGTTTAAAAATGGAAATAATCATCTATAACGCCCTTTAAGACCCCGCAATGCCATTTAGGAAACGATTTTCACAAAACCCATCTTATAGCGGATCTCTACTTAATGAATGGAATCAGCTTACTACATTTCAAGATTTTACGTCTAATATTTTAAGAAAGGAGTTAATTGCCTATAACGCCACTTAATATTCTACAACGCCACTTGGGAGTCGATTTTGCCAAAACCCATTTTGCAGCCAATCTGTACTCTATGAAAGGAATCCGCTTACCAAATTTCAAGACCGTACGTCTAATAGTTTAAAAATAGAAATAATTATGTATAACACCCCTTAAGCCCCCGTAACGCCGCTTAGGAAACGATTTTCACAAAATCCATCTTATAGCGGATCTCTACTTAATGAATGAAATCAGCTTTCGAGATTTTACGTCTAATAGTTTAAAAAAGGAGTTAATTGCCTATAACGCCACTTAATTCTCTACAACGCCACTTAAGAGTCGTTTTTCACAAAACCCATTCTGTAGAGGATCTGTACTCTATGAAAGGGATCCACTTGCTGAATTTCAAGACCGTACGTCTAATTGTTTAAAAAGGGAAATAATTATGTATAACGCCCCTTAAGCGCCATCAACGCCCCTAGGAGGTCGATTTTTGCAAAAATCATTATGTAGGGAATCTCTACTTTTTGAAAGAAAAATCTGTGTACCAAGTTTCACGACTGTACATCTAATAGTTTAGTAATGGAAATAATTATCTATAACGCCCCTTAAACCCCCGTAACGCCCCTTGGGGTTCGAACTTTGCAAAATCCGTTCTTAGCTGACGTCTACTCCATACAGGGATCCTACCTACCAAATTTAAAGTCTGTAGGTTTAATAGTTCCGGAGATATCGTGATTAAGTGAGTGAGTGAGTGAGTCGCTTTTCTCCTTTATATACGTATATAGATATTGCCAACGTCTTTTTTGGCAACAACTTTGAAAAACACTCTCCAGCTTAATGTACATTTAGCTGATTAGTACTGAAATGGTAAAAAAATGATAAATATGATGCAAAAATTAATTATTCTTAAATAATTAGTCAAAGACTAACAATTTGTCTAATTAAGACGTGGAAATATAGCTTGGAATAAAATTATAAGCTTTCAAAAACTGAAATAAAACCTCGAATTGCAAAAGACGAGGGCTTTAAAAAATTGTTTTCTAAATAGCAATTAGGAGATAATCAGTGTAATTATCTTTAAACACTATTATTTTAAATATATAAGTTCGTCAATTAAACTTTCACTATTTGTAATGCCTCAATTATTATAATTAAAAAAAAATAAATGAAATTACAAATTTTTCTTTGGAGGATTTTTCTTGATAACGAGAAGAAAATTGCGCGTTTATTCTATGGAGAAAGATCACTTCGAATTGTATTCAGAGCGTTACTAATATAATGATATAATTTTTTTAAAAAAATAAATCTTTA